CACTATAGCAAGACCTTTTTAATTATCATACAAAGTTGAGGTTACTATTGAAGTGTATATGTGCTTTCAACTCAATAAAGACTGACACCTGAAAGTTAAATGACAAAATTGTGGAATGTATATATATATTTCTAAAAATAGTATGTGACTCTACATTGTACTGACTCACTTCAATAATGCTGTTTAAAAGCAGTGTGGGACAACATTTTAAATAATTACATAGGTAACAATATTTGAAAAATCGGTTTTTGTTTTAAACGTGTTATTTCCTGTGAAGTGCTTACTTTGAAAGTAGTTGTTATATTCCAGAAACTTTGTTTTTGTAGCTGCCACAAACAGTGTTGAATTGGTTGAGACTTTATGTGATATTCATTGAAAAACTATAGCAAAATGTGCTGCAAGATGTCCCACAAAAACAAAGCTTTTGCAATTTAATAAACATTTCCCATGTTTTTATGATAGAACCAATTAAGAAATGACATCTATAACCCAGGAACAAATATGTGTTACACTTAAACTTGATCACTAATTTATCCCTCACTCTGTGAATTTATATAAAAGTCTTCAGGTCCATTATTTTAATTAGTCTCAACTTTTGATATTCCCCTCTTCTTATCGCATTTGCCAGTCTTTGTTCAAATATTACCAAAATACTATAAGACACTGAAAATCTATATAAATAAAAGTGTAATGTTCGTTTGTGGGATTCACATAATTCAAAAACCACTGGACGAATTTGGACACAAGACACCTAACAACCCAATGTATGTCCTTCACTCAAAAAAATTGATTTTGTCATTTGGGAGTTGTAGTTGCTGGGAGTTATAGTTCACCTACAATCAAGGAGCAGTCTGAACCCCACCAACAATGGAATTGAAGCAAACTTGGCACACAGGACTCCCATGATCAATAGAAAACACTGGAAGGGATTGGTGGGTATTGTCCTTGAGTTTGGGAGTTGTAGTTCACCTACATCCAGAGAGCACTGTGAACTCAAACAATGATGGATCTGGACCAAACTTGGCACAAATATTCCATATGTCCAAATATGCACGCAGATGGAGTTTGGGGGAAATAGACCTTGACATTTGGGAGTTGTAGTTACTGAGATTTATAGTTCACCTACAATCAAAGAGCATTCTGAACCGCATCAATGACTGAATTGGGGCAAACATTCCACACAGAACCCCCATAACAGAAAATACTTAAGGCCATCCAGTCCAACTACCTTCACCAGGACAAGAAAACCAAACAAAGCCTTCCTGACAAAGAGCCATCCAGCCATAGATATAGATAGATACGATTCACACACATACACACACATATAGTATCATAGATTCGAAATGGACCCCTAAAGAAGGACAATTATATGTGGACTCAAACTATGATGGATCTGGACCAAACTGTACACGAAGACTCAATATGCCCAAATGTGAACACTGGTGGGGTTTGGGGAAAATAGAATCTTGACATTTGGGAATTGTAGTTGCTGGGATTTATAGTTCACCTACAATCACAGAGCATTCTGAACCCCACCACTAATAAAATTGGACCAAACCTCCCACACAGAACCCCCATGTGGGCCACAGCAACATGTGGCAGGGGACGGCTAGTTAATAGATTAAAAACCTTCCTCAACATAAAGCTCTACTTTCAATGCTTCTTTCCAGTAACCCAGGTATGGGCAGACCCAGGATCGAGAGCCAGATTTAGCCTCTTGGGCTCTTTTCTCAGATCCTCCTCTCACACACCATCCTATCCTTGTTTCCTTCTCTCTTTCCTTCCCTCCCTCCCACCCTTCCCTTTCGTCCTTCCTTCCCTTTTGTCTTTCCTTCCTTCTCTCTTTCCTCCCTCCCTCCCTCCCCTTCCACTTTTCCTTCTCTTTTTCCTTTCTCCTGGAGGATGTTTAGCTAGGACAAGAAAGGTAGAAAGGGAACATTAGGACCATGTTTCAAGATTTAAAATATGTCCCATTTGGGGAGGGGGGGGGTGACTTTCTGCTGCACAAGGGAGCAATGAGTTCAAATTCCTAATCTTTTTGACAGAAAAGATTAGGAAGAACTTCCTGAGAGTAAGAGCTGTTGGAGAGTGGCAGAGGCTGCCTCGGAGTGTGGTGGTCTCCTTCCCTGGAGGCTTTTCAGCAGAGCTTTCTATTGGGAGTGCTTTGATTGTGTCTTCTTGCATGTCAGGGGGTTGGACTTGTGGGTCTCTTCCAGCTCTAGGATGCTAGGATTCTATATCAGGAGTAGGCAATACGGGGTCTAATGGATACACTTTTTCTCTCCCATCCACCATCTCATCCTGACTAAGGCTAACCCTTTTGGGATCCAAACGCTTCCTGCCTTTCCTTAACTTTCTACCTTCAAAAGAGATGAGGAAGGGGAGGAAAGGGCAGGATGGGGACTTGGGGAGAAACCCCTCTGTAAAACATGACAATGACATATGTGTGTATGTGTATTTGTGTGTGCATAAAAAACCAGGTCAATGAGGAGACTAAAGTACAGTGAAGATTTCTGCCCTTGCTACTATGCTACTTGCCCTTGCTACTATGCTGCTGAGTATGCATGCCCAGTGTGGAACATATCTCACCACGCTAAAACAGTGGATGTAGCTCTTAATGATTCATGCCGCATTATCACGGGGTGCCTGCGCCCTACACCACTGGAGAAATTACACTGCTTCTTTGTCAGTGTTGATGTAGAGATTGTCTGGTTTGCTTACTCTGGAACATGAAACATAATTGTCCTTTAGAGATCCCTTTCAAATCTATGATACTATATCTGTGTGTGAATCATATACAGTATATTTATCTATGGCTGGATGGCTCTTTGTCAGGAGGGCTTTGATTACATTTTCTTGCCCTGGTGAAGGGAGTTGGACTGGATGACCTTAAGTATTTTCTGGAGTATTTATTTAATGGAGCCCCCGGTGGCGCAGTGGATTAAACCCCTGTGCCGGCAGGACTGAAGACGGACAGGTCGCAGGTTCGAATCCGGGGAGCGGCGGATGAGCTCCCCTCTATCAACTCCAGCTCCTCATGTGGGGACATGAGAGAAGCCAGATACAGTGAAGACATTTGCCCTTGCGCTATGCTACTCTGCTGCTGAGTATGCATGCCCAGTGTGGAACACATCTCACCACACTAAAACAGTGGATGTGGCTCTTAATGAGACATGCCGCATTATCACGGGGTGTCTGCGCCCTACACCACTGGAGAAATTACACTGCTTAGCCGGTATTGCACCACCTGACATCCGCCGGGAAGTAGCAGCCAATAGTGAAAGGACCAAGGCAGAGACATCTCCAGCTCATCCCTGTTTGGGTATCAGCCAGCATGTCAACGACTTAAATCTAGAAATAGTTTTCTAAGATCTACAGCAGCGTTTCTCAACCTGGGGGTCGGGACCCCTGGGGGGGTCGTGTGGGGATGTCAGAGGGGTCACCAAAGACCATCAGAAAACAATATTTTCTGTTAGTCATGGGGGTTCTGTGTGGGACCTTTGGCCCAATTCTGTCGGTAGGGTTCAGAGTGCTCTTTCATTGTTGTTCATTCGTTCAGTCGTCTCCAACTCTTTGTGACCTCATGGACCAGCCCACGCCAGAACTCCCTGTCGGCCGTCACCACCCCCAGCTCCTTCAAGGTCAGTCCAGTCACTTCAAGGATGCCATCCATCCATCTTGCCCTTGGTCGGCCCCTCTTCCTTTTGCCTTCCACTTTCCAGCACTTATTTCATTGTAGGTAAACTATAAATCCCAGCAACTACAACTCCCAAATGTCAAGGTCTATTTTCCCCAAGCTCCACCAGTGTTCACATTTGGGCATATTGACTTTTCATGCCACGTTTGGTCCAGATCTATCATTGTTTGAGTCCATGTAGGTGAACTACAACTCCCAAACTCAGGGTCAATGCCCATCAAACCCTTCCAGTAATTTCTGTTGATCATAGGAGTTCTGTGTGCCAAGCTTGGTTCCATTCCATCGTTGGTGGAGTTCAGAATGCTCTTTGATTGTAGGTGAACTATAAATCCCAGCAACTACAACTCCCAAATGCCAAGGTCTATTTCCCCGAAACTCCACCAGTGTTCACATCTGGGCATATTGAGCATTCGTGCCAAGTTTGGTCCAGATCCATTGGTGTTTGGATTCACAGTGCTCGCTGGATGTAGGTGAACTACAACTCCCAAACTCAAGGTCAATGCCCACCAAACCCTTGCAATATTTTCTTTTGGTCATGGGAGTTCTGTGTGCCAAGTTTGGTTCCATTCCATCGTTGGTGTACAGAATACTCTTTGATTGTAGGTGAACTAGAAATCCCAGCAGTTACAACTCCCAAATGACAAAATCAACCCCCCACCCCCACCCCACCAGTATTCAAATTTGGGCATATTGTGTATTTGTGCCAAATTTGGTCCAGTGAATGAAAATAGACCTGCATATGAGATATTTGCATGACGATTCATAACAGTAGCAAAATTTGTTATGAAGTAGCAATGAAAGTAATGTTATGGTTGGGGGTCATCACAACATGAGGAACTGTATGAAGGGGTCACGGCATTAGGAAGGTTGAGAACCACGGATCTACAGAGACACTCGCTGGAACACCTCAGCAAGCGAGAGTCCAAAAGTGGCAGGACATTTAATCAACTACCAAGCTTGCAAACTTTGTGTTTTGTTTGTTTTTAAGGCAATAGAACTGTTTTGGTTCGCTCCTGACACGATCAATAAATAAAGCCCACTGGACTGTCGCCTAAGAAATTGCATACCCGTGTAATACAGTTGAACCGCACGGTACTGCATGATATGCAGGCTTTGTGAGGGCGACTGAGGAAAAGAGCTGCTGGAGCAAGCAGGCGGAAGTTGCCTCAAAAACTCCCAACCGCGATTCCTGCCCGTCGGTCGTTCTCCACCCGCCTCTTCCGGTGTCGCAACTAATAGCACCAACTCTACTTTTTGCTCCCTCACCTTGTCTTCTCTGCCGTCGCTACTGCGGCTGCGCACATGGCAATGACTCGCTTGCCGCGCGCAGGAGTCTCGGGGGCGTGGCTAAGGAGGCTGCGCGCGACCAAGTGAATAGATGTGGTTGACTGTGGTGGTTGGAACGTCGCCTTGGAAGGTGAGCGCGAGACGAGGGCGGGAAGGGCGCGCGCACTGGGTCTTCTCAGTCAGGCGATTCTATATCCTCTCTATTCATTATTATTATTATTTCCTGTCACCACAGGCAGCAAACCTTTAGGGGTGGTAATGTGGCAAATGCGGCCTTTCCCACCAGAGGTTCGTAGGAGCCCCCGGTGGTGCAGTGGGTTAAACCCCTGTGCCAGCAGGACTGAAGACCCGACAGGTCGCAGGTTCGAATCCGGGAAGAGGTGGATGAGCTCCCTCTATCAGCTCCAGCTCCTCATGCGGGGACATGAGAGAAGCCTCCCACAAGGATGATAAAAACATCAAAATCATCCGGGCGTCCCCTGGGCAACGTCCTTGCAGACGGCCAATTCTCTCACACCAGAAGTGACTTGCAGTTTCTCAAGTCACTCCTGACACGACAAAACAAAAAACCAGAGGTTCGTGTGTGTGTGTAGGTATGCTTGATACAGGTGCCTCTGTTATTGTGTTATCGAAGGCTTTCATGGCCGGAATCACTAAGTTTTTCGGGCTGAACGGCCATGTTCCAGAAGAGAATGTTTCTGGAACATAGCCCGAAAAACTCCCAACAACCCAGCCTATGTTATTTATTTTATGTATTCATTTATGACATTTATATACCGCCCTTCTCACCCCGAAGGGCACTCAGAGCGGCTTACAAGATATATATACATACAATATATTATAGTATTAGCATGCCTAATAATATGCCAGCAAATATGGAAAACACAAGAATGGCCATCAGACTGGAAAAAATCAACTTATATCCCCATACCAAAAAAGGGAAATGCGAAAGACTGCTCAAACTTCCGTACAGTGGCCCTTATTTCTCATGCTAGTAAGGTAATGCTCAAGATCCTGCAAGGAAGACTCCAGCAATACATGGAGCGAGAGTTGCCAGATGTTCAAGCTGGGTTTAGAAAAGGCAGAGGAACGAGAGACCAAATTGCCAATATCCGCTGGATAATGGAGAAAGGCAGGGAGTTTCAGAAAAACATATATTTCTGCTTCATTGACTATTCTAAAGCCTTTGACTGTGTGGATCATAATAAATTGTGGCAAGTTCTTGGTGGGATGGGCATACCAAGCCACCTTGTCTCTCTCCTGAGGAATCTGTACAAGGACCAAGTAGCAACAGTAAGAACTGACCATGGAACAACAGACTGGTTCAAGATTGGGAAAGGCGTACGGCAAGGCTGCATTCTCACCCAACCTTTTTAACTTGTATGCAGAACACATCATGCGATGTGCGGGGCTTGATGAATGCAAAGCTGGGGTGAAAATTGCTGGAAGAAACATTAACAACCTCAGATATGCAGATGACACCACTCTGATGGCCGAAAGCGAGGAGGAGCTGAGGAGCCTTCTAATCAAGGTGAAAGAAGAAAGCGCAAAAGCCGGGTTGCAGCTCAACATCAAAAAAACCAAGATTATGGCAACAAGAATGATTGACAACTGGAAAATAGAGGGAGAAATCGTGGAGGCCGTGACAGACTTTGTATTTCTAGGTGCAAAGATTACTGCAGATGCAGACTGTGGCCAGGAAATCAGAAGACGCTTACTTCTTGGGAGGAGAGCAATGTCTAGTCTCGATAAAATAGTAAAGAGCAGAGACATCAGACTGGCAACAAAGATCCGCCTAGTCAAAGCCATGGTATTCCCTGTAGTAACCTACGGATGTGAGAGCTGGACCTTAGGAAAGGCTGAGCGAAGGAAGATAGATGCTTTTGAACTGTGGTGTTGCTGGAGGAAAGTTCTGAGAGTGCCTTGGACTGCGAGAAGATCCAACCAGTCCATCCTCCAGGAAATAAAGCCCAACTGCTCATTGGAGGGAAAGATACTAGAGACAAAGTTGAACTACTTTGGCCACATCATGAGGAGACAGGAAAGCCTAGAGAAGACAATTATGCTGGGGAAAGTGGAAGGCAAAAGGAAGAGGGGCCGACCAAGGGCAAGATGGATGGATGGCATCCTTGAAGTGACTGGACTGACCTTGAAGGAGCTGGGGGTGGTGACGGCCGACAGGGAGCTCTGGCGTGGGCTGGTCCATGAGGTCACGAAGAGTCAGAGACGACTGAACGAATGAACAACAACAAAGCATGCCTATTACAGGGAAAACCAGCTGATCCCCAACCCATCTAAAACACAGACATGTGCCTTTCATCTCAAGAACAGACAAGCATCCTGAGCTCTGAGGATGACCTGGGAAGGAATCCCACTGGAGCATTGCAGCGCACCCAAATACCTGGGAGGCACTCTGGACCGTGCTTGCTCCATCCATGTGCAACATCTACACAAATGACCAGCCACTGCCAGAAGGGACAGAGAGTTTCATCTATGCTGATGATCGTGCCATTACTGCTCAAGCAGGGAGCTTTGAGATGGTTGAACAGAAGCTCTCCGAAGCTCTAGGTGCTCTTACTGCCTACTACAGGGAAAACCAGCTGATCCCCAACCCATCTAAAACACAGACATGTGCCTTTCATCTCAAGAACAGAGAAGCATCCCGAGCTCTGAAGATCACCTGGGAAGGAATCCCACTGGAGCATTGCAGCGCACCCAAATACCTGGGAGTCACTCTGGACCGTGCTCTGACCTACAAGAAGCACTGCCTGAACATCAAGCAAAAAGTGGTTGCTAGAAACAATATCATACGAAAGCTGACTGGCACAACCTGGGGATCACAACCAGACACAGTGAAGACATCTGCCCTTGCGCTATGCTACTCTGCTGCTGAGTATGCATGCCCAGTGTGGAACACATCTCACCACGCTAAAACAGTGGATGTGGCTCTTAATGAGACATGCCGCATTATCACAGGGTGTCTGCGCCCTACACCACTGGAGAAATTACACTGTTTAGCCGGTATTGCACCACCTGACATCCGACGGGAAGTAGCAGCCAATAGTGAAAGGACCAAGGCAGAGACATCTCCAGCTCATCCCCTGTTTGGGTATCAGCCAGCACGTCAACGACTTAAATCTAGAAATAGTTTTCTAAGATCTACAGAAACACTCGGCGGAACACCTCAGCAAGCGAGAGTCCAAAAGTGGCAGGCTCACACCCAGCACCTCAATCAATGGCTGATACCAAATGAGAGACTCCCCCCTGGGCACACAGAAGACTGGGCGACTTGGAAGGCGCTGAACAGACTGCGCTCTGGCACCACGAGATGCAGAGCCAACCTCAAGAAATGGGGCTACAAAGTGGAATCCACAACATGCGAGTGTGGAGAAAAGCAAACCACTGACCACCTGCTGCAATGCAACCTGAGCCCTGCCACATGCACAATGGAGGACCTTCTTGCAGCAACACCGGAAGCACTCCAAGTGGCCAGATACTGGTCAAAGGACATTTAACCAGCTACCAAACTCACAAGTTTTGTATTTTGTCTTTTTTTTTTTTGCTTTGTTCTCTTAGAAATGTAATATAATCGACTGGTTGCACTGACATGATAAATAAATAAGCATGGTAAAATATCAGTATTAAACATTATATTGTAATATTATTAGTAATATTATATGTAATATAAATTTATAATTATAATATATGATTAGCATTATATTGCATTACATTATAATATTATAAATATTATATGTATATACAATATATTATGATATTACATTATATTATATTATTAGAATAGCACAGGAGACAAGGTGGAACTGTCTTCTGCCCCCTCTCTCTTCACTCTGGCCCAGAGCGGCAGTTGGTGCTGGGGGGAGGGGTCCGCAACTGATGACATATGCAGGAGACAAGATGGAACTGGCCCCTGGCCCCCTCTCTCTTCACTCTATTGTTGTGGCTGCTCTTAAGGGGGGCTCTACATTGTAGAATTGGCGCAGTTCGACAGCACTGACTGGCATAGCTCATTGGTGTGGCATCATGGGAGTTGTAGTGTCATTGGGTTTTTATTCTGTGAGCCCTTCCACACAGCCGTATAACCCAGAATATCGAGGCAGATGATCTACAATATCTGTTTTGAACTGGGTTATCTGAGTCCACACTGCAATATAATCCAGTTCAACGCAGATTATGTGGGATTTTATACAGCTGTGTGGAAGGGGCCTCAAACAACTCAGTTCAAAGCAGATATTGTGGGATTTTCTGCCTGGATAATCTGGGTTATATGGCTGTGTGGAAGGGGCCTGAGTCCACATTGCCATATAATCTAGTTCATTGTGGATTTTATACAGCTTTTGGAAGGTGCCTGTGTTACAGAGCGCTAGGGCCTCACCAAACTACAACTTCTTTGATTCCATAGCCTCCAGCCTTGACAGTTAAAGCATTGTCAAACTGTATTAATTCTGTAGTGGAGCTCTCAAATCTCCAGCCTGTTCTCACTGCCCTAGGAAACTACAAGGCATTTAGGTCTGCTGCCTTAGAGAGATTGGATATACAGTAGAAATCTATTGTTTCATAAAATGCAGCAGTGTTTAAATGTTTCCCTGGTTTTTCTCAGTAACAGAAAATAGTTTCCTTATGCCAGAATGACCAATCTCGATAAAATAGTGAAGAGTAGAGACATCACATTGTCAACGAAGATCCGCATAGTCAAAGCAATGGTATTCCCCATAGTCACCTATGGATGTGAGAGCTGGACCATAAGGACGGCTGAGCAAAGGAAGATAGATGCTTTTGAACTGTGGTGCTGAAGGAAAATTCTGAGAGTGCCTTGGACCACCAGAAGATCCAACCAATCCATAACCCAGGAAATAAAGCCCAACTGCTCATTGGAGGGAAGGATATTATAGGCAAAAATGAAGTACTTTGGTAACATCATGGGAAGGCAGGAAAGCTTAGAGAAGACAATGATGCTGGGGAAAATGGAAGGAAAAAGAAAGAGGGCAAGGTGGATTAATGGTATCCTTGAAGTGACTGGCTTGACTCTGAAAGAGCTGGCAGTGGTGACGGCTGACAAGGAGCTCTGGCGTGGCGTGGGCTGGTCCATGAGGTCTGGTCCATGACTAAACG